TATATATATATATATATATATATATATATATATATATATATATATATATATATATATATATATATATATATATATATATATATATATATATACAAATAATATATATATATATATATATATATATATATATATATATATATATATACAAATAATATATATATATATATATATATATATATATATATATATATATATATATATATATATATATATATATATATATATATATATATATATATAGAGAGAGAGAGAGAGAGAGAGAGAGAGAGAGAGAGAGATAGAGAGAGAGAATGACCAATTTAAATTACTTGATACATGTATATGATATAATCATTGAAACATAGACATTTATTTTTAGACAGTCATAACTATTTTAAAATTAGATTTTCATGGTATTATTTAGCACTTTTCCTTAGAATGAAAAAAAAATAAAGAAAAAAAAAAAATAAAAATAAAGGAAAATTGAAAAACAGAAAAGCAAACACAGAAAACACCGTTTATGGAATGATGAATCGATGATATCAGCAATTAAAGCGGTTAAAATGGAGATTCACAGCGAGCAGTATGTAAAGTTTTTGACATTCTAAGATATTTGTTAAAAGTTTGACTTTCTTGAGAAACGGAAATAGGAGCCAAATCTGAACATCCAACTATTTTAGATAAATAGAAATTAGTTGATTTTGAATATAATTTTTCAGCTTTAAGAATCAGATTTGGTCGATTGCAATTTCTAAATTATGACTCCTACAGAAAAATAGTGGCCTGGGATTTGCAATAGGCACAAAGATTTACTTGACGTCAACCAGAAGGTACAGCAGCTATTAGATATCAATGTAAGAATGTTTGTAAAGTGCCAAAATATCCATTCTTAAAAATGTGTTAACGGAAAATAAACTACTTCAGAAACCGCAAAACATTTTTAATATGGATGAGACTTGGATGCAGTCTTAGAAATTGTCTTGGAAAAACAGTTGCAAAAAAAAGAGTTAAGTATCTACAATATCGTCAACTAGGTAACCGGGAAACAATCAGAGAAATAACTTTTGTCAATGCAATTGGTAACTCTTTTCTACCACGTATCATACTTAAAAGAAAAACTACTAATTCTCTGTCGAGTTTTTGATTTGGAAATGCCCCACAAGAAAGTATATGGAGTGTTTTAGACAGTGGTTGGACAAAACTTGGCATTCTGTTTCTATGGTTTACAAAGACATTTCGTTTGGAAAATTTGGATTTTTAAAAATATATATGAATTTCTTTACTCTTACAATATAATAAAGCTCTCGTTTTTTAAAAAAGTTTATTTTTTTGGTTTTTACAGAAATTTCATTGCCTTTGACTATTGTAAAAGTTTCAATGATGCAAATTCCATGTTTAATAACTTCCATCACAATTTTTAAAATTTGTATGAAAAACATTTCCCAGAGAAAGAAGTAACAATTAAAATTAAAAATTTAAATTCACCATGGTTTAGTAAAGGTTTAAAAAAATCTTCGAAGCGAAAACATCGACTGTACGATAGATATCTAAAAAATAAGTGCATAAAGACTAAGAATATAAAAACTATAAGACTTTATTTGAGTAAATCAAACGAAGTGCAAAATCAAACTATTATAAAAAGCAACTTGAAAAGTGTCAACACTTGATAGAGTGCTTGAAACACTCTTTCGATAGAGTGTTTGAAACACTCTATCGAAAACAAAAACATGCTTTAAGAATAATAAATTTTAAAAATAAAAACAAACATGTAAAACCACTGTTCGAAATTATGAATATTTTTACGTTATACGAGATAAACGTTTATAAAATTTTATGTCTCATGTACAAAAGTAAATTTCAACAATGCCCCTCAATTTTTAAAGATCTTTATGAAATAAAACTTTAAACATTAAATATACTTTACCCACAACAGGCTTAATTGAACCATTATGCAAAACCAAACAAGAACAATTTAAAACTACATATCGCGCTCCGCATATCTGGAATAAAATCTTACCAAAACATAGTAATTTAACAGGTGTAAATAATATAAATTGCTTTCAAAAACTAATAAAAAAGAATATTTCAAAGTATACATATCTTATTAATGATTTCTTTTAAACTGCTTTGTTTTTTTTGTTTTTGTTTTTTTGTTTTTTTTTTACATTGAAAAGTTTTTGGTTTTAATACTATTTACCTTAGTTAATTAAATTTTGCTTTTAACACTATTATTGGAATTTAATATTGTAAAAACATAATTATTACAACGGTTCTTGACGATAAGACTCAATGGTCTTCTGGAAGTTTCCCGCATTTTTTATATATATACTTTTTTATAATTAACTCTTATTATTTTGTCTTTGATTTTTTATATTTATAAAAAATTAATACAAAAACAAACAAAAAAAAAAATCAAAATTTGGTGCTATAAATTGTTAAGGAAAACTCAACAAACCTTGACGCAAAATAGGCGTTATTGAGCCAAACAAAAATTGTCATAACTTTGGAACCAGTTATCCAAATTTAAAAAACAAACTCATTCTGAAAACGCCTTTATTATCCGCATATTTTAGTATTAATTATAACAAAGATAATTATAATAGTAAAATCGTGTGAAGTGCCTACATATATCTTCATAAAACTGCCACACATTTCGAATTATAAGTTGTTTTTTTAACCTTTTTTAACCTTTTGCTATGCTATTCTTTTTAAAATTCCTCTTGTTCCATCAATGGTTCCTTTTCTGTGGGCTGTAGCAAAACAAGTCTACCCCAAAGTTAGAATATTAAAAGTCACTTGATAATACTTTAGGAATTTTACCATTAAGCAATTTTTAAATTGAGAAGATGGGCCATCATTCCAAAGCGTTACTTTGTGTATAACTGAATTGGTTGCGTAAGCCTTTAAGAAATATATTAGAAATGTTTTATCTTGCTACCAAGTTCTTCTGCACACTTGGGATAACATTCCCATAATTTAAGTAACAAATAAAGTTTTTGAAGTTTTTCTCTACAATTTTTGTAAAGTCTTTTAGACCTAGAGTCCATCAAGATATTTCTTCGTGGTTGTAAAACGCTAGTACATGATTGAATAAGCTAGAAGATAAACGGATGCGTTTTTTTATCTTTGATACCTGGTAAAGAGATATTTATTTCTACTGCTAATTGTTTAATGACATAATCTTGCTAAATTACGACAGCGTAAACACAAATATCTTTAAAACGCTCAAGGTATCTTTAATATTACTTATTCTTATTCTTGTCAAGTGGAACATGTTGTCTATCATTCAAGTTCGTCAGAAGGTCATGCTGTGAACCGCGTTAAATTGGCCTCACCAAAGTCGCCACGAAAGTCGTCACGAAAGTCGTCACCAAAGGCCTCACCAAAGTCGCCTCACCAAAGTCGTGGCGACTTTGGTGAGGCCAATTTAACGCGGTTCACAGCATGACCTTCTGACGAACTTGAATGATAGACAACATGTTCCACTTGACAAGAATAAAAATAAGTAATATTAAAGATACCTTGAGCGTTTTGAAGATATTTGTGTTTACGCTGTCGTAATTTAGCAAGCTCCTTTTTTTTTCAATTCTTGCCCTGGCTTTGATTGTTGGCGACGAATATTACTTCGTTCTTTTTCTATTTCTTTTAATTCAGTTTTCTTTCTTTATCTATAATCTTTACAAACTTGTTTGTGCGATTTGGGCATTGTTTTAATATTTATATGTTTCCTGTATTTTTATGTAGAATATGTCAAATAAGTTATATTTTAAACTAGTTCATAACATGTAAATACTCAGTTATACCAATTATTTAAATAACTTTTTATAACGCGTGTTTTCATTAGGGTTTTTCAAATTAAATCTTCTTCCTTGACGCATTTAAACATCGAATTGATATAAATGCGAACTGGCATAAATGCGAACTGGCATAAATGCGAAACAGTTTCAAAAACTGGATCAAGTGCGAAATGGCATAAGTGCGAATTGGCATAAGTGCGCCGAACAAATTTGCAAACATTAGCATAAGTACAAATTGGCATAAGTGCGAACTGGCATAAGTACGAATCAGTTACAAAAATTCGAACTGGCATAAGTGCGAATTGGCATAAGTGCACCGAAAAAATTTTCAAATATTGGCACAAGTGCAAATTAGAATAAATTAGTATATCGCAATTATGCCAATTCGCACTTATGCCAATGTTTGTAAATTTATTTGGCGCACTTATGGCAATTCGCACTTATGCGAGTTCACACTTGTGCCAGTTTTTGTAATCGCTTCGCACTTATGCCAATTCGCACTTATGCCAATTCGCACTTATGTCAATGTTTGCAAATTTGTTCGGCGCACTTTTGCCAATACGCACTTATGCGAGTTCGCACTTCCCAGCAAACACGCGAACGTCAAAAGGACGTCGTGAGGACGTTGCATTCTAACGGTCCTTTTATAGTCGTAAAGTGTAATCCCGCATGACATCAAATAACAACGTTGTAAAGACGTCGCACTTGTGACTATAAACGGACCGTCTAGATATTAGTGCCTTCGCGACGTTTTTTTGACGCTCGTGTGTTAAAGCTATATAAATACGCATTTTACACGTTTGGTATCCCTTTTATCTACACAACCAGTTTAATAAGAGATTGAAAGCTCTAAAAATGCCAATTAAATTTGAATCAAAGTAATACACAAAAAATCCAAACAATTAACTCAAATAACAGTATTGTTTTTTTTGAAATATTTATGAGGAGTAAACAAACTAGTATGTTTAACAAACTACTTTAGTTTAAAAATAATAAGGCAATGAAAAAGCAGCTGCTTCTTCTCAGGTATATTACCCTTATAAAATATTAGGTTTAAAATGTTTTATACTAGCATTGCACGCAGTTAATATTTTCTCTTATAAAAATTCAATTTCTGGAAAATAAAAAACATGAATTAAAATAAAAATCTTTGTAAACACTATTAAAAGATTAATTTAAATAATATTAAATGATTAACAATATTAAAAAAACATATTTATAAATTTCATTTCTTGACATTTTAACCGTTGTCATTACTTGGATTTTTCAAACCACCTTTTCGCAATGGAGCGTGTTTTAAAGTCACACCAATACTATGTTCGATATCTTTTTCTATATACTTCTTCGACTTTGCAGCAGTTGCTAGAAAAATAACAAAAATTTTATTTGGAATAAAGTAATGCTTTTTATTCTTGTCTTAATTTTAGTGACCCAAGTTTGGTTGGAATTTTAACTCTTACTCACCTAAATTTTAATTTAAATATTTATATAGATAAACTAATTTGCCATATATACAAGTATATATGGCAAATATAGTGATTCCTACAACCATTTATGATTGTTTCCTACAACCATTGTATATATTTTCTAATATTTTCTTAACTTTAACTCTAATTTTTCTGATTGTAACTTATTTTTTCTAAAATTAAAAAAAAAAATATATTGTAAATTGCTAATGTGAAGTATATTTACCTATATCTGCTGACTTAAATTTTAACAGTGCTATAGAACCGTATTTTATAATTTAACTAGAAAAGTGTTGAGAAATTTTCCCATAATTTGTTAATCTAAATTTGTAATAATTAGAAATAACATACCGACGATTAACTTCATTGTATTTGTCTTTCAAAAAGACAGCTTATCCATTTTTCCGTTTAAATTGTACTCACTCATGACGCATTTGACACAACCCTAAAAAGTAACACAAGAAATTTGCACATCTAATAAAAATAAAAAAATCATCAAAAAATGCCAACGTAATAATCGCGCCAAGAGAAGTAATAATATTTTTGAAATTTGACAATAGTCTTAGTTATTTTTGAAACTTACCCAGGGTGCAATGAAGCAATTATGATTCTCTCAGCGACCATGATAATAATATATACACATGGTAATACAATCAACCCTCGGAATTAGGGTCGGCCATTGGCAATGCCGACCTAACTGTCGAACTGAGAGTGCTTGAGGTTGGCAAAAAATTGCTGACCTTGTTTCTATGTTTTATATTTGAGGTCGGCAAAAAATTTTTGCCGACCTCAAAAAGATTGAGGTCAGCAATAATTTGCCGACCTCATTTTTTCTAAATCCGAGGGTTGTACAATAATGCACATCAATCATTTATATATGTTTATATCTTTTAAATAAATGATTAAATTTAAAAAGAAGACAACCATAACCAACTTACTTGTTCATAATATTCCTAACATATTCATGGCATGTTTTTCCTCCACAGTTTTCAAAGCGACTAAAGCAAACAAAATCAAAGTAGAAGTTTTAAAGTGTTTAGAAATTTTTTTGCAAATAACAATTCTAATTATATAGTTGCTCCAGGAAGAAAAAAAAACAACAGAATTTTAAAGTTGTTAACTAAAGTATTGATTATATTTAAATGAAAAACAACAAAAAACAAATTTTTAAAATAAAACTAAACTTACAAAAGGCTTTTTAATTTCACTCAATTAACGTAATTAAAGAAACTTCATTAGAAAGTGTAAATGAAAAAATATACTTTCTTTGAAATGATGCAACATATATATATTGCATCTGTATTATTAGTTGAAAGTTTCTCATTTCTTGCAAGAGGCAATGGTTTAGAGCTACTACTGAAATCTGGTGATGCTGAAAATAATTAATTACATAGATTTTTAAATCATATTAAATTAAATTCATAATTAAATTCATAACTAGGACTCACAAAAGTCCTGTGCTAATAAAATCTTTATATAAAAAAATTAAACAAGCATAAAACGAGTTTCAAAAAAAAATTCAACGAATTCATTTCAACAAGAAATGCATTAAAAAAATTGTTAATTTTTAGTTCTGCTTGTTGCACAGCTATAACACAAAAAGCTTTTTGCATAGAACTAAATTATATTGAAAGGTATTAAACACTACCTGAAATCTTCAGTTATTGCAAAATGCTGATGAAGTAGGAACCAACACCTTCTGAGATTTGTGTTTTTTGTCAAATAAATTTGTTGGCAAAAAATACAGGTCTCTATAAGTCTTTAGGTCTCTATAGAGATATATATTAATTTTTAGCTGCTAAAAATATTGGGTTGGTAATCGTATTGGGTTGGTTGGGGGCAGGTGAGGCTCCTTAGCTATGGCTAAGGATAAAGAGACTATAAGAAGAAAAACTTTTATATAAAACCCCATTTAACTGCAGGTTCCAAATAACAATATAGCATTATATATATATATATATATATATATATACATATATATATATGTATATATATATATATATATATATGTATATATATATATATATATATATATATATATATATATATATATATATATATATATATATATATATATATATATATATATATATATACGAGCTCATGTTTTTTATAGCTGCTATATATATGTTTTTTTATAGCTGGTATATTTGGTGTATATATATATATATATATATATATATATATATATATATATATATATATATATTACAATAATATGTTACAATAATAAAAAAGAGTTGAATGGAATGGATATTGTTTCACAATATGATCTAAAAATAATTTTGTCACATATTTTGTCAAAAGAATAAAGATGTATTTTTAAATAGCATCTCTAATATCTTAGAGAATAACAGATCGTAATGATCTGTTAATGATCATGATGTTCATTTTATCAATACAATACAAATGATGATCATTTTATCAATACATGTCTAAAATAGAATCCAAGAAAATAAAAATTAGAAAAGCGAATTATTTAAAAAGAAATTTTTAATATTTTTATTATCCGAAAATAAAAAATAATTAAAAAAACAAAAGTTCAAGCAAATAATTAATTCCTATATTGCTTCATATATTTCGCCATTCATTAAAACTAAAAGTAAAAAGAGCAATTATGTTTATTTTTTAAAATCAAACGAGGTTTCTTCCTTGCTCAAGTAAATTTAATTAGTGAAATCCAAAACAGTTCACTATCTTATAATTTTAATGCGGCTGTTACAATTTTAAGAGCCGCATGGTATTTAAATTTATAAGTTTAATTTAAACTTGATTCAAATGTAAATTTAATAGTTATAACTTAACAATTTAAATTTCGTTTGAAAAAATCTTCCGTAATAATTGGTCATCGGATGTCAAAAGAACGTCTCAGTAGGGTCAAATATTTGACAGTCGCATTTAAGTTGCGTTATAGTCGTTTTACCGAATGACCATTATAGGACGTCAAGCGGACGTCCTCCTAACGTTTGCTGGTATGTCATCAATGTCACCAATACTATTCAGGTTCATGTCACCAATCTCACCAATAATATATAGGCTTGTAATTTTTTATTAAATTTTATTATAGTTATTTTAATAAAATTTTCTAATGGTTTAGTTTCACCGTTTGGTGAATAATAAACAAAACCTACTAATATATTTTTACATTTGTTGTTAATAATTTCAATAAAAAGATTTTCATATTTGGTATTTGAGTAACATTGTAAGTTTTTTATTTCATAAATAAATTTATTGGAGACATAAACCCCTATTCCTCCACTTTTTATTCCACTGAATCTTAGTTGACTAACTGATTTATAAGATGGCAAATTATAGTTAGAGTTTAACTTAACATAACTTTCTGTATTCTGCCAGGTCTCCTTAAGAGTTATGACATCCAACGTGTAATTTACAATGCCTAAAAATTCTTTCAACTTTTCAATATTTTTTTGCATGCTTTTAGTGTTTATGTGTGACACAAAAAAAATTATGTAATGATCATGTGTTACTTTATAGTCAAAAGTATTAAAATATAGTTCATTTGAGTTTATTAAAAAATATTTAAGTTTTCCTCAGTTAGATATTAATAACATCCTCTCGAAAAAGGTCACCCAGCCGGCACAATGACGTTGAAATAACGTTGAAACAACGTCGCAAACCGACCATATGCCACGTTGAAACAACGTTGAAATTTGGTTGAATTGGAAATAAAATCCGACGTCGAAATCTACGACGTTGAAACAACGTCGATGATTACGTCGTTTCAACGTTGATCTAACGTCTTATCGACTACATATCAACCATATTTCAACTTTGAATAGGTGATATATTCGATTGATACGTAGTTGATAAGACGTTAAAACAACGTTGAAACAACGTAAATTCAACGTTGATTTTTGTTTTTTATTTTGGTTAAATCCAATTAACTAAAAAATTTTCTCAACTTTAATTGCAATAAATTAACACAATAAAAAAGCAATAATTTGCGCAGAGGATATTATATTTCACGTAAATTAATCAGATACAACTAAATTGCTTCAACGGACTTTATATACAATGTAAATAAAATGAAATGTTTGAAAAAAAAAAGTTTTATTTATCAGTATTATATTTATCAATTTATCAATAATAACTATTATCAATAGTTCCAGAACAAATAGGAAAAAGTATGAATGTTATACATCGGGTTAATCGCCATATACGCGCCGACCACCACCATTTGATCTGTCGAGTGCGTATTTTAATAAATTCATTATTCCTTTTCTTATTTCGGCAACTGTAGCAGTCACTTTAATTGACAAAACTCTCTCTATAAAAAAGGTATTGCCTGAGTAATTTGCATCAAATACATCAAAAAGTTAAAAATAAAATAGCATTAAAAAAACGAACTGTGATTTTTAAAAATATATAATTTTACACTTAACTTACAAGTAAATACCTAATGTTTGTTCCTTTAAATTTCTCTTTACCTTTACCGTCAGCCATATTAAATTTTGATTATAAACCATTGGTCAACAACCTACATTATACATTGTTATTAATATCATAGTAACAAAAATTGATATACATGTCTTTCAAAATACAAATTATTCTTAATGAAAAATAGCACAAAGGTTTCTTACCAAAGGTTTCTCACCCAACGCAAAAGGTTTCTTACCAAACCGTAATGCAAGTAAGAAAAAGAATTGATATAGGGGAAGAGTTTGGTCCAAAGAGACCACCTTCTAAACGCAAGAAAACACCAAGAGCGGACAGTATAATTAGAAATATCTGCCTAGAAAACAGAAAAAAAGCCACTAAGCTTATCCATGAAGCTGTAATTGTTGTGTCAGACCAGACCATTTGTAGAAGGCTAAAAGAAGAGGGATTGATGTCCAGCCGAAAATGTCAAAAATTGACAAAAAAATTTAAAAATAATGTCAAAAATCTTATATTTATGCAAGATGGTGCAACTTGCCACACAATAAAAACTGTTATGGCTTAGTTGATGTATTGCTATAGCCAGACAACTCGCATGGTCTTAACCCCATAGAAAATATTTGGGAAATAGTAAAGCAAGAGATTGGAAAAAAAAAATCTTACTAATAAGCAAGATCTTATGGAAGAGATTATCAAGATCTAGCATAATAACCCAGAGTTGACAGAAACTATAAAAAATAAATTGCAAGCATGCCACAATGCAATGAAGCAGTTATTGCAAATAAAAGTGTTTTTGCAAAATATTTATACTTTATATATACAGTTGTGTGACAATTTATTATGGCCACCTATGAGTTTTGATCATTTTGAAATTTAATCTCATTTTTTTCATATGAAGAGTAAAAATTCATTATTGAAAGTTAATCTTCTGTTTAAAATAAAGTTTGAACTTAAAAAATTAATGCTTTTTTTTTGCTACTGGCAACACTGTCACTTTTGACAGCCATTTTGTATGATGTCATTTTAATTATAATCTTTTTGCTGTACACTTGTTAAGTTTTATTACCAGAGTTTTGAATTCTTTTATTAGGTTATCGTCATATTACTTATTTAAATCAGTAAAAATTTCTTGAATATTTCTTTTTATTTTAAATTAAAAATAGTTGTATTTAGTTTGATATTTTTAAAGTTATGAGTACCAAAGCAAATTCTTAACTGTTATGTGATACTGATATGTGATATCTTATTTTAGTTATGAGGGAAAAAAAAAACTTGTCACAAAAAATTGCTGAAATCAGGGCACTTTTAATAAATACTGATCATTCTCAATGAAAAATACCCAGAAAATATGGTATTTCGTGGGTATCTGTACAAAATATACACAAAAAAATGCTAATATGGAGAACTTGATGCCAAAGAGGGTTGGTAAATGTGGAAAGAAAAGAATCCTAAGACCATGCAGGAAATGAATACTTACCAAGATTGTTCTAGAAAATAGACCGGCCACCAACAACAAAATAACTAATAAGCTGGGCCAATCTGGAGTCAAAATGTTGAAGAGAACGGTCCAACATTGCCTACACAATCTTGGTTACATTTCA